CACACACATACACACCACACACACATACACACACCACACACACATACACACACACATCCTCGGACTGGTACTCAGCGTGGATGACGTGGCCAAATGGATAAATTATACAACACCACCACGAGGCTCTCCACAAAGCTTTTCGAGAATCGAGATCTCACCCAGCTGACGCCTGGATCACCTCGGATCAAAGACTTATGCAACAGAGAGCAGGGCCTTTCATCTCAATGACCACATCCGCTACAGGTCCTTCACAATCGAGTCATCATGAAATACCCACTGGCACTGCAAAAGTCCCACTACCCAGCAAATTACAACACCTGAAGCAGACGCAACATCAGTCAATGGTATGGTAAGCTTAAAAGAACTCTGGACTAAACAATAAGATACACCCCTCCCTTCCTTAGCCATCTCACTAATGTTGACGCAGCTGAGACAAACAAATAACCATTTCGCTACTATATGCCAGACGCTCCCCGGCTTGACACAACCACTCTCCAGCTTATCTACAGCCCCTTCCACTGACTTAGTAAAATTTGAAGTAGCCAAACGCCTGGACAAACTAAAATTAAAACGCTCTACCACCCCATTGATTTACCAATGAAACTCTTCAAGGAGTTCTCACGCTATATCTCTATCATCAATGCCTTCTCTCAGTCAAGCCAGATGCCCAGCTGACTGGAAGACCTCTTATGTATCACCAGTGCCCAAGTCAACCAGCCCACAATCGCCTTCAGCTACGACCTATTGCAATCACCCCAATACCCAGCCTAATCTGTGAAAGTTTGTGTTCGACTGGGCTTATACTGATATTGCAAGTCGTAGACCCTCAGCAATTGGCAACATGAAAACTTCCTCCACCAATCACTGTCTTGTGGGCTTTCTCGACTACATATACCGCCATCTGGAAACGAAAAACGTCTGTAGCTGTCGCCTTCATTGACTTCACCAAAGCATTCGACCTGGTCGCTCCAATATAATCATCAACAAAGCTATTGACCTCGGGCTTCGGAAGTCTTATACCGCAAGCACAGACTTCCTCAGTGACCGACGCCGCTGTACGCTTCCGAGCTGTCTCCACCTTTCAGTCTCACCTGTGGCGTCCCCAAAGGCACCAAGATGGGACCAATCTGCTTCCTGCGCCATCGATGCCTAAGAGAAACCCTGCTCGCTGAAATATGTCGACGACTCCACCATTGGGATCAGCGTCAACAATTCTGCTCCCACTATACCGCCCTTCAGGTTTTGTTGAACAGTCTCAAACGGGCCACAACAACCATGTCACCATCAACCATACCAAGACCATGGTTATGCACATCAACCTCTCCTCCGACATTGTCCCTCCTTCCATTACTTTAGGTCCGACACACTCCATTTTTAGATTCACGATCCTCGGCGTCACCATAGACAACAAACTAGGAAACCACACGTCAGTAGTATCATCCTCCATTCCGTCTCCACCTCCTCTGCCGACTCCGTCCCTCAGGTTCCTGCACCAGCTCCTCAGTGTTTACACAACATTCATACTTCCCAAGCTCACCTATGCCTCCCTACCTGGTCTTCCTCCTAAATGCCGCCACACAACGTAAACACCTAAAAAGTAAAAGACATGCAAGTGTATAGATATGTATACCAAATGTGCTGCGCCTGACACCAGGACTCTTGTTACCATTCATTGTACCATTTATTCACATGTCTGTATTACTACATATTATTATAGCATGTCTGATGTCTATGCTTATGTCTAATGCCTATGTTCATTTACTATGTCCCGATGTACTATGTCTGTACCGCGCTAGTGAGTAATTAGAACCTCATTTATTGTCCTAGGAATGTCTAGCAACTCCCTTTTAGCTATGTTTCCCTCAGATCGCTCATGCTACAGTCAGGGTTAACCGCTCTCCTATCGGTTGGCTATGCGCAGCCTTGTACCACTTGTTGAATATATCTACTGCTCGTGCCCTGGGTTTAAACCTTGTCTAGGATTACATCCACCACCACCAAGTATTCTCTCCCTTCTCCCACATATAAAGGCGCTCAACACACTGACCCTTTCGACTCTCACTGACCATCACCACGACCTCATCTGCAAATTTGGTAGCTTCTACCATCCTGACACCGGCTCCTACTACCACCTGAGATCCCTAGCCGAAATTGCTGTTCGACACACCGCATCCAGCCCATACGTGCACGAGCAGTCGCTATAAACAGCCCAGTCCCAACCATTGTAAAATTATCAATAACTTAATAAACCAGTGTATTCACTCCCAGTAAAACCTACTCCTTGCACTGTCACTATGTTGAAATAAGACTGTAGTTTGAGCTTTTCCCCATCTAGTTATTATATATCTTATTTGTGTCACTTATGTTACTTGTATATTTGTAATTCGAAACCCATTCCCCAAAATATGTAACTGTATATTTTCAGCCTTCTGGCTGCCAAGCTCTTTCAATAAACCGTTATTATTATTACACAACACACACACCCACACACACACACACACCACACGCACACCACACGCACACCCACACACACACACACCACACACCACACACACACACACACACACCCCACACACACACACACACACACACACACACACACCACACACACACACACACACACACACACACACACACACACACACACACACACACACACACACACACACACACACACACACACACACACACACACACACACACACACACACACACACACACACACACACACACACACACACACACACACACACACACACACACACACACACACACACACACACACACACACACACACACACACACACACACACACACACACACACACACACACACACACACACACACACACACACACACACACACACACACACACACACACACACACACACACACACACACACACACACACACACACACCACACACACACTACACACCACACACACACCCACACACACACACACCACACACACACACACACACACACACACACACACCACACACACACACACACACCACACACACACACACACACACACACACACACACACACACCCACACACACACACACACACACACACACACCATCAAAAACAAAATATAATCATTCTACTCTTTATTCATTATACAATTATTCATATTTCTCCTTTACAAATATTATACATAAATCATACACTAGGTACATGGTTCGTTATACATAGGAATAAAATCTTATGTATTAGTTACAAGAATACATAAGTAATACATACAGAGATACAGTTATGGTGTAGTGTTCATACAGTCATTATTTCCTGGGCACTTTTTTTTAAATTTGGCCGAGAGAGAGAGAGAGAAAGTACACATTAGCCTCTGTCCAATAATTCCATTACTATATATCAAGCGTAGTACAGGGGTGCCAGAGTACAGGGGTGTCAGAGTACAGGGTGCCAGGTACAGGGTGCCGAGTACAGGGTGCCAGAGTACAGGGTGCCAGTATAGGGTGCCAGAGTACAGGGGTGCCAGAGTACAGGGGTGCCAGTACAGGGTGCCAGAGTACAGGGGTGCCGAAGTGAGGTGCCAGAGTACAGGGTGCCAGAGTACAGGGGTGTGAGTACAGGGGTGCCAGAGTACAGGGTGCCAGAGTACAGGGTGCCAGAGTACAGGGGCATAGTGGGGTACCAAGTAGGGGGTGCTAGAGTACATGGGTGCCAGAGTAGAGGTGCCAGAGTACAGGGGTGCCAGAGTACAGGGTGCCAAGTACAGGTGCAAGAGTACAGGGTGCAAGTACAGGGGTGCAGAAACAGGGTGCCAGAGTACAGGTGTCAGAGTACAAGGTGCCAGAGTACAGGGTGCTAGAGTACAGGGTGCAAGGTAGAAGGTGCCAGGTACAGGGTGCCAGAGTACAGGGGTGTCAGGTACAGGTGTCCAGAGTACGGGGTGTCAGGCTGAGGTGCAAGAGTACAGGGGTGCCAAGTGCAAGGTGCCAGAGTACAGGGTGCCAGATACAGGGGTGCAAGAGTAGAGGTGCCAGAGTACAGGGGTGTCAGAGTACAGGTGTCAGAGTACAGGGGTGTCAGTACAGGGGTGTCGTGTACAGGGGTGCCAGAGTACAGGGTGTGCCAGGTACAGGGGTGCCAGAGTACAGGGGTGCCAGAGTACAGGGTGCAGAGTACAGGGTGTCAGGTACAGGGGTGTCAGAGTACAGAGTGTCAGAGTACAGGGTGCCAGAGTACAGGGTGCCAGAGTACAAGGGGTGTCAGAGTACAGAGGTGTCAGAGTACAGGGGTGCAAGAGTACAGAGTTGCCAGAGTACAGGGGTGCCAAGAGTACAGGGTGCCAGAGTAGGGTGCCAGAGTACAGGGGTGTCAGAGTACAGATACAGTCAGGGTGCCAAGTGCAAGTGTGAGAGTACAGGGTGCCAGAGTACAGGGTGTGAAGTACAGGGGTGCCAGAGTACAGGGTGCCAGAGTGGGGTGCCAAGTGCAGGGGTGCCAAGTACAGGGTGCCAGAGTACAGGGTGTGAGTACAGGGTGCCAGAGTACACAGGTGCCAGAGTACAGGGGTGCCAGAGTACAGGGTGCCAGAATACAGGGGTGCCAGAGTACAGGGTGCCAGAGAGTACAGGGCACAAGTACAGAAGTGCCAAGTACAGAAGTGCCAGAGTACTGGGGTGTCCAGAGTACAGGGGTGCCAAGTACAGGGTGCCAGGTACTGGGGTGCCAGAGTACAGGTGCCAAGTACAGGGGTGCCAGGTATGGGGTGCCAAGTACAGGGTGCCAGAGTACAGGGTGCCAAGTGCAAGTGCCAGAAATGCTGAAGTGCCAGAGTACAAGTGCCAGAGTACAGGGGTGCCAAGTACAGGGGTGCCAGAGTACAGGGTGAGAACTGCCATTAATAGTCCACTCTAGTCAGGCCTCTTGTTGGCACTCTCTTCACGTTTCGGCTCCGACGCTCCAGGGAGTAAGGGTCGTTCAGGTCGTCATTGGTACGACCTCCCTCCCTCTGGGCGCTGTCGGAGTAGTATCTTGATGACTCCGAGTGGTAGCCGTTCTCCCTCGGGGGGCGCTGAGGCTGGCGAGTCCGACGGTCGTGTTTGTCCCGATTAGTATAGTTAGCAGCCTTAGGGTCGTAGTTAGCAGCCTTAGGGTCGTAGTTAGCAGCCTTAGGGTCGTAGTTAGCAGCCTTGGGGTCGTAGTTAGCAGCCTTAGGGTAGTTAGCAGCCTTAGGGTCGAGTTAGCAGCCTTAGGGTCGTAGTTAGCAGCCTTAGGGTCGTAGTTAGCAGCCTTAGGGTCGTAGTTAGCAGCCTTAGGGTCGTAGTTAGCATCTCGGTCGTGGTTAACAACTCTCGGGTCGTAGTTAGCAGCCTTAGGGTCGTAGTTAGCAGCTCTCGGGTCGTGGTTAACAACTCTCGGGTCGTAGTTAGCAGCCTTAGGGTCGTAGTTAACAGCTCTCGGGTCATGGTTAACAGCTCTCGGGTCGTGTTGATCACCTTCGAGTCGTGGCCGAGGGCAGGTGCGCTGAGGGTCGTCACTCTGGAAGCCAAGGTTGTGACGACCACCATGAGGCGGTGACATGCTGATAGGCCTCTCTTCCACCAGCGTCTGCAGAGAGAGAGAGACAGAGAGAGAGAGAGAGAGAGACAGAGAGAGAGTGGTAACGTCGAAAATACATAATGACACACACATACATACATACATACATACATACATACATACATACGTACATGCATACATACATACATCTCTTAGGGATTATGGGGAAACTTTCGTCGTGGCCCTCGACATCTCCAAAGCATTTGACAGGGTATGGCACAAGTCTTTACTTTCTAAACTTCCCTCTTATGGTTTCTCTCACCACTTTGTTTTTAATCTCTAGCTTCCTTGAGAACCGATCCATGGCAGTTGTTGTCGAGGATCTCTCTCTCTCTCTACCAATGTGGTGCCCACAGGGTTCTGTTCTTTCACCAACTCTCTTCCTTCTTTTTATCAATGATTTACTTCACACTACAACTAATTCTATCCATTCTTACACTGATGATTCTACTCTTCACTCTTCTTCACATATTCCTTCCTCTAACTCTCAAACTAGATCTGTTTCTAGAGCTGATATCATTACATCTATCAATGCGGATCTGTGCAGCATCTCTGAATGGGGCGGTACAAACGGTTAAGTTCAATAGTAATAAAACTCAATATTTACCAATTACACTTTGTAAATTAGATGATCTCCCAATTACATTTCAGGACGCTATCATCCTCCCAAATTCTGAAATAAATATGTTAGGCCTCACCATTTCCTCCAATATGTCCTGAAATCACACATCCTTAGTATAACTAAAGCTGCCTCCAGAAAGCTGGGAATGCTGTACAAATGCCGCCTACTTCACTCTGAGCAGTTGCTTCAAGTATATAAAGGGATTCATTCGTCCTAACTTGAGTACTGCTCTCATATCTGGGGTGGCTCTTCAACTGTTAGATAGGGTGGAATCAAAGGCATTTCGTCTTATTAACTCTCCTCCTTTGGTCGACAATCTTTCTTCCTTTTCTCTTTGCCACATTGTTTGCTTCACTCTCTCTCTTTTACAGGTACTTTAACGGGCAATGTTCGGTGGATTTGGCATCCTGTGTACCGCCGGCAAGGCCGTGGGTTCCTCTTCTTTCCCGCAGTGCCCACCGTTTCTCTGTGGATGTCGGTCACACTATAATAACCCGTTACAGTACCTCCTTCTTCCTCACAGCCAAACTGTGGAATGCTCTACCTTCTTCTGTGTTTCCATGCTCTTACAATCTGTCTCACTTTAAGATGGTTTTCCGGCATCTTCGTGGTGTAGATGTATAGTATCACTTTTTTTTCTATATTTAGACTTCTTGCTGTTCTTATTTTTTCTCGCACCCAAGGCTCCGTTGTGGGTCGTTTGACCTGTGCCTGGGTGGGCTAATTCCAGCAAAAAAAAAAAAACATACATACATACATACAGTGTTAAACAGGTGAACAGTGGTGAACAGTGCTTAAGTCAGTGAGAACAACTCAGCAGTAACAGTCGTACCCAAGATAACCTTCACAGTGAGGTCCCAGGTACCAAGTGATAACGGCCCGTGAGACTCAACAACCAGCGATGTGTTAATCCGTCTCACGATAGGAAGGCCTGGGACCACACCTCCCTCATCTAACACCATCTGTGAGGGATTACTACACCACATGTCCCTCATAACACCATCTGTGAGGAATTACTACACACGTGGGCCCTCATAACACCATCTGTGAGGAATTACTACACCACGTGGGCCCTCATAACACCATCTGTGAGGGTACTACACCACGTGGGGTCCTCATAACACCATCTGTGAGGGAATTACTACACCACGAGAGGCCTCATAACACCAACTGTGAGGAATTACTACACCACGTGAGGCCTCATAACACCATCTGTGAGGAACTACTACACCACATGTCCCTCATAACACCATCTGTGAGGATTACTACACCACTGAGGCCCTCATAACACCATCTGTGAGGTACTACACACCACAGAGGCCCCGCATAACACCAACTGTGGGGAATTACTACCACAGGCCCCGCATAACACCAACTGTGAGGGAACTACTACACCATGTGATGTCCCTCATTAACACCATCTGTAGAGGAATTACTACACCACGAGAGGCCTCATAACACCATATGTGAGGTTACTACACCACGTGATGTCCCTCATAACACCATCTGTGAGTGCTACACCATGTGATGTCCCTCATAACACCAACTGTGAGGACTACTACACCATGTGATGTCCCTCATAACACCATCTGTGAGGTGACTACACCACGAGAGGGCCCTCATAACACCTGTGATTTACTACCGTGAGGCCACGCAACACCAACTGTGAGGATTACTACACCACGTGGTCCCTCATAACACCATCTGTGAGGCTACTACACCATGTGATGTCCCTCATAACACCATCTGTGGGGAATTACTACACCACGAGAGGTCCCTCATAACACCATATGTGAGAGCTACTACACCATGTGATGTCCTCATAACACCATCTGTGAGAATTACTACACCACGTAGGGTCTCCATAACACCATCTGTGAGGCTACATGTGATGTCCCTCATAACACCATCTGTGAGGAATTTTACACCACGAGGAGGTCCCTCACCATATGTGAGGGGCTACTACACCATGTGATGTCCTCATAAGCACCATCTGTGAGGAATTACTACACCACGTGGTCCTCATAACACCATCTGTGGGGAGCTACTACACCATGTTGATGTCCCTCAACACCATCTGTGAGGGATACTACCACGAGAGAACCCTCATAACACCATATGTGAGGAGTTACTACACCACGTGAGGCCCGCATAACACCAACTGTGAGGGAATTACTACACCACGTGAGGTCCCTCATAACACCATCTGAGGAACTACTACACCATGTGGGGTCCTCCTAACACCATCTGTGGGGAGTTACTACACCAGGTCCCTCACACCATCTGTGAGGGAATTTGCTACACTATGTGTTTGCTGTTCAACACCTACATTAATCTGTATTTCATGTATGTTCCTTCACCTTTCTCTAATGAAGGCTTTTTGTTAAACCACCAATGTATGTAATAAGTCATTTATGTCAATGTATATTTTCAGCCTTCGGGCTGCCAGAACTTTCAATAAACCGTCAATTATTATTATTATTATTATTATTATTATTATTATTATTATTATTATTTATACATACGTTATACATACACGCATACATACATACATACATACATCCGCACATGCATACATACTTGCATACATACATACATACATACATACATACATACACATACATACATACATACACACGCATACATACATATGTACATATCATTACTGAATTACCGTAAACTAGCTTTCATTTACTCTCTCTCTCTCTCTCTCTCCTCACCTTATGGTAGTTAGCTGTTTTGGTCATCTGCGATTTCTTACAGACGATGAAGCCGCCCATACTTCTACCCTTAGAACCAGACCGCCCATCACGCCCATCACGATAACTAGGGTCGGGTCAGCCTTGGTCAGGTCATCTAGGTCTTGTTGGACCTTTCTCTCAGTTGCTATGACATCCTGGATTTGGTTAGATTTGGTTAGGTTTGGTTAGGTTAGGTTAGGTTAGGTTAGGTTAGGTTAGGTTAGGTTTGGTTAGGTTAGGTTAGGTTGGAGAGTTTGATCTCTAACCTGCTCCATCTTTGTCTCAAACTTTGCTTAACTTGTCTCAAACTTTACTTAACTTGTCTCAAACTTTACTTAACTTGTCTCAAACTTTACTTAACTTGTCTCAAACTTTACCAACTTGTCTCAAACTCCTTAACTTGTCTCAAACTTTTAACTTGTCTCAAACTTTACTTAACTTGTCTCAAACTCTACTTAACTTGTCTCAAACTCTACTTAACTTGTCTCAAACTTTACTTAACGTCTCAAACTTACTTAACTTGTCTCAAACTTTGTAACTTGTCTCAAACTCTATAACTTGTCTCAAACTCTACTTAACTTGTCTCAAACTTTTTAACTTGTCTCAAACTTTACTTGTCTCAAACTTTGTAACTTGTCTCAAACTTCGCTTAACTTGTCTCAAACTCTACTTAACTTGTCTCAAACTCTACTTAACTTGTCTCAAACTTTACTTAACTTGTCTCAAACTCTACTTAACTTGTCTCAAACTCTACTTAACTTGTCTCAAACTTTGCTTAACTTGCCTCAAACTTCACTCACCTCATCGAGAGCTTTAACCTGTTGACTTAAGCTTCATTGTTCGTATTATCTTATCCGGATTTTTGTTTAACATATACAATAATTTTCCAATTCGTTTGATTGTATTTGAGTTTACCCACTGTTTCTCTTGTTATCCTTCCGTCTTGGATATCCTGTGTGGTGTTGTCGATATCCTGTAGGGTTTGTTTGAGTTGTGTACATAGATCATTTTCTTCGTTAGCGCCTTCTTGAGGTACAGATGTCTTTAAACAATACGTAACTTCTAG